ACACATACACATATACATGTACATATATATATATAACCCACACTGTCAGCATCATCCGCAGCAGCAGTGAGCCGAGGCAAAGCAGCGTCCTGATGTCGCATACTGTGTCTCGCACCCAACAGCAGGCGGAAGCTTTGAGAAGTGTCATCAGCCAGCACTACCTGCTGTCTATCTGGTGTCCCGGTGTCCTGGAAGTTCCTCGCTGTTTCCTTTCTCTTGCGAGGTGTTTCGAGACCTGAAGATCGATGATGGCTTCTTCTCGCAGATGCTGCTTCCGATGGCGGAGGTGTGTTTTCCGTTTTCAGGGCTCTGCTAAGATGGCCCTACAGAAAGCGCTCGGCCCAGTTTTTCGGAACCGAGCAGGCGGAAGGTGACTTCGATGTCTACCTGATGGAGAAGGGCGTCAGCAACCCAGACGTCCAAAGAAAGCCTGATCACTTCTGAGCGCTTCACAGCAGGTGATGCCTCTTCTGTTGCAGGGGCTCGATGCCCTTAGCAAGCCCCAGCCTCGGAGCTCTCGGAACAGTGGGAGGTAGCGCTTCTGCAATACTAAGAAGTGGCTCCGAGCTCAGGCATGTGGACAAGGTCGCCCAAGGCACCACCATGGGCAGTAGCAAGCAGAAGTTCAATCCCTTGGTCTGGTCCGGGACCTGAATTGGACGGATTTACGCTCGTTGGTTTTTGCTGAGCCTCCCATCTTCGAGGGCTCTGGACTTCACCGGAAAACTGCGACCAAGGCTGGCACAATACCTTCTTCGGAATCATCCTGGCCGCATCCACGACCATCGCACCGGGACGTGTCCTGGCCAGGTCTTGATCGCACTATGGATGGCCTCACCACGTAAGCGTTCCCCAGTGAATCATGGTGAATGCATGGGTTCGGACTGTCTCAATCTCCAAGCCCCGAACTTGTCTGCTTCGGGGTTCGCTTCGCAGATTTCTCAACCACCACTGAGTGCTCACGGCTGTGGAAGGCAACCGCCGCTGCGGCGGTCGCCAAAAAAGAGAACCTCATAGGATTCCTTGTTGAGTCCTTGTAGAACCTTTCACAAAAATCCGCAAAGCCCCTTGGGCCCTGTGCCCTTGAAGCCCTAAACCCTAAATCCTAACCCAAAGACTTTTTTAAAACCAGCCGGAGGAAAAGAGGTGTCAGAAACAGAAAAGCCATACAAAGATTTTCAAGAGAATCACTGAAGCCGTGGGGAACCACGTCGGGGGCCTCAGGTACGAGAAGATCCGAGAGCTCGCCGAGGCAGGGTCTCGGGGGTTAGGGTTTAGGGGTTTAGGGGTTTAGGGTTTAGGGGTTTAGAGGCTTGGGGGTTTAGGGGTGTAGGGGCTTAGGGGTTTAGGGTTTAGGGTTTGGAGGGTTTGGGGGCCTGTTGGGCTTTAAGGTTTGGTGTTTAGGGCTCTAGGGCTTTGAGGTTGTTGAGGGCTTTCGGGTGTAGGGCTTCAGGCCATTCAGGCCTTCAAGGTCTAGAGTTTAGGGGTTAGGGGTTGAGGGTTAAGACATGAGCGGTTTGAATCCTGGCTGTACTGATGATGATGATGTCGATGGAATAAATTCAGATATGCACATTTGCAGATACACACACAACACACACACACAACACACACACACACAACACACACACACACACTCACATATGTACATAACATGCATGTATGTGTGTGTGTACATATATATATATACAAACATGTATACGTGTGTGTGTGTGTGTGTGCCTTGGTACAGATATACACATGCATGTCCAGATTTTCCGTTTCTTCATAGAATCAGACAAAGCAAACGACCCCCCCCCCCCCCGCGCAGAGCAAAGACGTCTCGCAGGTGGAGCGCGGCCGGCGGAATCTCCTCCGAAAACAGGAGGAGTTCGAAACGGCCTGGACGGTTCTCGCAGAGGCGATGCGAGCACTTGCCTGGAGATTGAGTTGACAAAGACAAGAAGGGCTTCGGGTTCAGGGTTTCGGGTTCTGGGTTGAGGGCCATAAGGGTGTCGGGGGTTGCGACAAGAGCCTACTGCCGGAGCTTGGGTGGGTTTCTCAATGTCTTGGGGCTGAGTCTTTATGAAGGACCACGAGCACATGCCCATGGCGCAGACCCCGCGAGTGATCGAGGCGCTGCATAGTGGCACTGTCATGGTTTCAGGCAGTTCCGAAATCAGAGTTGGGCCGAGCCGTGCGAATTAGCAGTACTAACTACTGCCACAGCTTGTGACGGCGCTCATGATGCTTTTTGATGTCTCCGACAGATTTGAGAGCCTGAGTAAGTTATCGAAGAACCTGGACCCGTGGCATCTTCCGTGGTCTGCAGAAACTCGACGCTGCCTGGAAGCTTGAGGGTGAGTTCGTCAGGCCAGGCAGGTCCTCAGCTGGGCAAGTCCTGCAAACAGGCTTTCGACCGGAATACCGCCTGATTTAACGACTTGTTCGGCAGAGTTTGGGGTCTTTGCGGAGGAGGGAAGGAGACGCAGCTTTCCACTTGTCCTCAGCCTTGGAGGCGCACGCAGCTGCCGGACTTCAAGGCTGAAGACCCAGAGAAGGCTCACTTGTCCTCGTCGTACAAAGCACTGCAGTAGCTAATAACGAAGGAGTTCTGGTCGTCGTCCTCCCCATCCTCGTCGTCCTACTAGGAGGACTACAGTCCTAGTGCTACTAGTATGAGTGCTCCATGCTGGTGCTACTGGCTGCTACTGCCACTACCACGACTGCCACCATTGCCACCACCAATACCGCCACTAGCAGGACTGCTGAGGGTCATGACTGCTCGAAGCCGCTCGAGCTTTTTTGTGTCACAAGAAAATCACACCTACAAGACCACTGCAGAGACTCAAAACAAGACAAGTATCGACAGCCTTACTACGATCAGGAAAACCCAGACTGGCACGAACGCGCTGAACACTAGTAGTAGTAGTAGTAGTCGT